GGCAGCCCCTGAGATATTGGAACATTGCTATCATGTCCCCCCTCGTCCTTCTCTTCATTAAACTAGACATACCCAATTCCAGCAACCGTTCCTTATATGCTTTGGCCTCCAGTCCCCTGATCATCTTTCAAGATCCAGTCTTGAAATGCAGCTAAGAATCTGCGCCATGGTAACCCTCCCAAAATGTTTGTCTTCCTTGCAGATGAAAGTCAAAAGCTGAGAATCTGAAGTTTGTTCCAGTGGTTGGTTAGCTGAGTAACTCGAGAGCCACGGTGCCAGATTCAAGAGGCGCGTGGCGCCATCTAACGGTGTCCAGATGCTCTCCAAAATGTTCCATTTCGTGTGGACTCGGAATGGCGTTTTTGGAAAAGGACTGAAATATACAATTCCAGACAGAGAAATTGTTGGACGATGGTGCTCTCCTTTTTAAAGCTTTTTTTTAATTAATGGGATGCCAATATGAGGAGAAGAAAGGTTAAGAAATTAGGTTTTAAGAGAAGTAAAATTTCAGCTGGGTGCCAACAGGAAGACATCCGAGAGATGGGTTTTGTCATTTGCGGGCATCAGGGTGAAACCCTGGTTAGATCTAAACTGAAGAAGCTTCTTGGATAAGAAGCAAGATATCTTTAAGGAAGAGCAAAGAAAGACCAGTTGCCTCTTGAAAAAAAGCACCTTTGGGACCCATGACCTGGATGAGTGAGAATCTCCATAGACATTCAGACAAACTTTGCTCCAGATGGCAAGTATGACATGTTAAGAACATCTCAGATCAGTTTTCTCGTTGAGTGGCCACTACAGGACTTGGAAGCACTCAGAAGAAGGAGAAGATAGATGCCCAACTATCTTCTCCCTTGTCCGTCCGAGCTAGAACATGTCTACTTATGCTCCAACAAGCATCTTAGAGTAGAATAGAACAACAGAGTTGGAAGGGACCTTGGAGGTCTTCTAGGCCAACCCCCTGCTCAGGCAGGAAAACCTGCACCATTTCAGACAAACGTTTGTCCAATCTCTTCTTCAAGACTTCCAGCGTTGGAGCATTCACAACATCTGGAGGCAA